TCCCCCCCTCCCCCCCCCGCGCGCTCACACGCCCCAGCAACGTCGGCATGGCCCGTGGACGCGTCCGCCGGACGTGTCCGCCTGACGAATGATCTGGATGTGTCCGTCCTGTGGACGTGTCCTGTGGACGTGTCCTGTGGACGTGTCCTGTGGACGTGTCCTGTGGACGTGTCCTGTGGGCGTGTCCTGTGGGCGTGTCCTGTGGACGTGTCCTGTGGGCGTGTCCTGTGGACGTGTCCTGTGGACGTGTCCTGTGGACGTGTCCTGTGGGCGTGTCCTGTGGACGTGTCCTGTGGGCGTGTCCTGTGGCCACCGCTTCACGGACGGCGTGTCGCCGCGCCGTCCAGGAGCCCGACCCTCGGCTACCGCACCACCCACGGGAGTGAACCCACACTGGATTCGATACCCTGGAGGGATGGTACGCAGGTGCCCGACCCTCAGCTGGCGACGACGCTGCTCAGCCTGGTCAACCTCGCGATGACCTTCATCGCGATGGGCATCATGGAGAAGGCGGGCCGCAAGCCGCTGATGATGTGCACCTGGGTGGGCATGTGCTCCTAGACGCGGAATCCGTATTCATGTCTCCCAACCAGCACTCGAGAGGACACGTTTTCAGCCGTACTCGACCGTATTCTTCTCCGCTGTATTCACGCGGTGCTCTCAAGACGCTGCACAATACCGTATTCCTGCCCCGACTGGCGTATTCAACACGTAGGCATGTGCTGCGGCTTCTTCACCATCTTCGCCGCGCAGACCGCGAGCGAGTCGTTCGGTCGCATCTCCCCATATCTCCCCATATCTCCCCATATCTCCCCATATCTCCCCATATCTCCCGAGTCGTTCGGTCGTCCGCCTCCTCCGGGCCGCGCTGCCGACGCCGTGAAGCGGCGCTGCATGTCACGCCGCATGCCCCGTGATTAGGCTCGACTCGGCGCCGCGGTCCCACCCGCCTCCGACGCGACGACCCGAGCCGGCCGTGAGATTGCCCTGTAGGCATCCTGCCGAGCGTGATGCCGAAGGTTGAGGTCCGCCGCCACCCTCGCCGCATTCGCCGCCGCCACCCTCGCTTGCGCCACCCTCGCTTGCGCCACCCTCGCCGCCGCCACCCTCGCCACCCTCGCCGCCGCCACCCTCGCCGCCGCCACCCTCGCCGCCACCACCCTCGCCGCCGCCACCCTCGCCGCCACCACGCGCCGACGGCGGCGGCCACCGCCCTCTCTCGGCCCGCCCGGCGCGCGCACTCGCGCCCTTGATGCCGCACGAGTAGGTCGTGGCGATGGTGATGATCATCGTCTCGTTCGCGGTCGGCGTGGGCAACGTCGAGGGCTTCATCATCTCCGAGATCATGCCCGTCTACGCAAAGGACACCCTCGCCTCGATCGGCCAGCCCCTCAACTGGATCGCCAACCTCACGGCGAGATGCAGCAGACAGAGGTAGCAGAGAGGTAGCCGAGGTGCATCCTCGCGAGGACATCGCGCATTGACCAGCCGCCGCCCCGCGCCGCCGTCGCGTGGCGTTCCCTCGGGACAGCCACGCGCTAGGGGTAGCCGCGCCGCAATCCGAAGTCCCCCCCCCCCCCCGGGGGGGG